AATAAATTAATAAATAAAAAGAGAGATTATTTCAGGCAACTCCACACCATCAAAAATACTTGCTCATTAAAAGTTTTCTCACGCCTAACCAAACGTTCGACAAAGGTCATCTTAAAGCCTAGTACTCAGTACGACGAAAACTGCTAGCTAAGCATAAGTAAGCGAGAGGCAAATAGGTACCTAACGCCTTTAGCCGGGGACTTTTTCCCACCTCGGTACTCAGTTGCGCTAATGAAATAGTTAGAAAATACCACAAAAATACTAGATTTAGCGGATAAACTCCGATAAACGCGGCACAAATAATAAAAAATTTAATCTTTGGGTGTGTTTGTGCAGAAGCTGTGTGCCAAAAACATATTATAAATGGAATGAAAACCCCAAAAACCAATGGAAAACTGCTTGTAGGAGTTGCAGCAATACACATATCCTCATGCCAACATCAAATTTAAAGCTTGAGACCCATAAAAAATCATTATTCAAACTTTCCTGATCGGAAAAACCGGTTCATTCCTGGGAATAAAAGCAACGGTGTTCATCCTTTTAACACAGTAATTTGCCCCCTTTGCGTTTTTGAAATAAATCTTAAATCTTAAATCGAAAGTGCAACAATTTCCTTAAACTCTGAAATTTCGATATACTTTTTTTTGCATAAAGGAAGAGACCACTCGTGGCTTTCACATTTTCAAAAAGACTGCTGTCCTTGGTTGAGACAATCACCGCAGCATCAACAAAATGAAAAGTATTGTACAAGAAATTACGAAGTTCAGTTTTTTCTGAAAGATTTCTTCCTTTGTATCATTAGTATTAGTTTTTAATTTAGAATTATCGTTAGTTTCATTAGTACTTAGTTTCTCTTTTCCTTGTTCTTCATTGACAGAACCAGATGCCATTGATTGTTCAGAGTCACTTTCGTTGTTCTTGGGGTTGCTGCTTTTTGCAATCATTTTTTCCCGTCCATAACCTTGCACAAAATTTTACTTATCAATTCGTACTTTTTTGGTAGTAAGTTCAACATCAGAATATTTATCAAACAGGCCTTCTTTGTTCCAGCTGAATATCTTACTGGATAGCTTTACTTTAACTCTACAATGACCGGCATCCGCCAAAAATTAACCACTCACCAGCATTATATTTTAAGAATTATATATTTTTTTTCACAATCAAAAGGAAAGGAGACACGGTCTCGCACAATACAAAAATTAGTCTGTTTGTATTAATCACTTTTTTGTAGCCATTTTGCTGGCAAAAGAAAAGAAAAAAAGAAGAAGCCTTTTTACTGTCCGAATGAAAGGCGGTTTCGCTCGGAGTTGAAAAGGAAGTGATTTTCTGTTTGTCAACCCAGATATTTTTCAATAAGACCATACTATTCTTTTGTAGTGTGACCGAAGTTTTTAGAGTTCACCCGCTTTTGCATTTAGCAAGGCATTATTGTAAATCAGCTGGGTTCGCAAACTGGCGCCAATTTTAAAATATTACCTGGGTCGTAAGCTTTAAATTTACTGTTGGCATGGCGATATGTATTGCCGCAACTTCTGCAGGCAGTTTTCCATTTATAATTTGTTATTGGCACACCGCTCCTGCACAAACAAAGTCAAGCCTAGTACTCAGTTCGGCTAAGAGTTTTACTAGTCTAAAAATATATATCTTTTAGTGTGACCGAAGTTTTTCATGGGCCGCGGCTTAAAGCGTTCATCGGAATTCATTTGCTAAATCTTGTATTTTATTGGTATTTCCTTACTATTTCCTTAGCTCAACTGAGTACCGCGGTGAAAAAAGTCCCCGGCTAAAGGCTTTAGCTACCTAATTGCCTCTCGCTTATTCCTATGCTTAGCTAGCAGTTTTCGTCGTACTGAGTACTAGGCTAAACAGTAAACATCAACTAGCGCCAATTTAATTTATAATTAATTTAATTTATCTGGATCTCTGGCAGAAGAATGCAGGACAAAATCCACTGGTTTTTCGACTTCCCGCATTATAGATTTTCCACACGTACTCAGTTATGGTTTTCCTCCACTTGCAATATCAGATTTTCTACACCCTCCCAGTTTTGGTTTTTCCAGACCCTCGCAGTTTTGGTTTTGCACTGCTTTGCAGTATCTGATTTTCCACAATAAAAATCATGTTTTTTGTATTAAATGTTTGTTTATTTTTTAATAATATTTACAAGCATCCCCGGTTTTTGCTTGGCCGAATGCAGTTCTTAGGTATCCATGTCTTGTCTGTCTTCTGAAAATATCAAAAATAATTAGATATGAATGTAAGACCAGGAATAATAATAAGAGTAATTACTATTATTACGTCTCCGCACAAAAGTAAAGGATCTCTCCAGAAATTATGGCCAATCATTTTCCCTCTGATCAGCTGTTTTATGTTGGTAACTATATCAAAAACAATGAGAAGAAAAAAAAAAAAATGTCAAACGCAGGCGCAACACTTCTGGTCCCAAGAAGTCTCAGGCTGAAATAAATGTAATATTTTGATTAAGTTAAACAACTAAGTTAGTACTGAAGTACTATTTATACAACCATTTAATGAACACCTCACACCATTTACCAATGGTAAAGATTAAAAACATTTCAAGTGTCACTAAAATGCTGAATTTGTGTTGAAGATAGCATCCGGAGGCGTATATTTATTAATGGCGAAAATATCTGTGGTACTAACCTTTGTAACGCGTTTTTTATTGTTTTTTAGATTGAAATTAACTATTTTCACTTTTTTTTCACTTTTTCCAACAAATTTAAAAATGATGTGACCCTGCATCATATACTTGATATTACCAACATGGCAAATGCAGACTTTTGGTCATAATTTCGTTGTAAGTTAAGGTCATACTTTGCACGCGAATAAATATTTCGTTTATTTCAGGGACCGTAATCATTATAGGTTACGTATATTATAGGTATATTAGGCATTTTTCGTGTTATCAATACTACCAACACGAATTTTTATTTTTTAACAACACTTAAAAATGGCTTAGGCCACGATCTGACGATCAAATTATTTTATTTCACAGAAAATATTTAAAAATGTATAAAACAATAATAGTTTTCTTTGTAATTTAATGGCAATCCTTGATAAATGTGATCAAATATTTTAATCGTCTTACCGTGGCTTTTCTTTATAATTTTTTTTTTGAATCCCACATTTATTCTTATTATTATTTGTAAACATTTTGAGTAAAATAAATTAAAATCATCAATAAATATTATGATTATAGACACAATGAATTTAATTATTTAGTTTAATTTATTTGATATTATATATTTTTAATATTAATTTTTTTAATTTTTTAATGTTTTTTCTACAAATTTTAAAATTACTAAAAATTTGAAATAAATTTGAGAACAAGATTTTTGTTTTTGGAATTTTTAATATTATAAGTTGGTGATTTTTTTGTTACAAAAATTATAATCGTAGTGCCATAGAAATCACACAGCGCATAAGTGGCCTGATAGTGATGCTACTCAGAAACCCACCCACATTTAACGCTCAGAAATTATCTATCCCCACACCGCCGCCTGCAAAAAGGAACAGGATTTCAAGAACACAAAAACCAACTTCTCACTTTCCCGCTGGGTATGCGTTCATCGGAATTCACCAGCTAAATCTGGTATTTTTTGGTATTTCCCTACACTATTCTTAGCTCATCTGAGAAATGTGAAACTCGTGTTCCCACAGAACTCCATCCACCATCTACCATCCAATAACAGCTGACTAAAGAGCAGTTGCTCAGCTCAACATTAACGAAGGGGGATTTCAACTCGGAAAAACTGTCGTAAAATTGCGTTCACCTAATTATACCCGTTACTCGTAGAGTAAAAGCGTATATTGTATTCGTGCAAAAGTATGTAACAGCTAGAAGGAAGCGTTTCCGACCCCATAAAGTATATATATATTCTTGATCAGGGTCACTAGCCGAGTCGATCTAGCCATGTCCGTATGTCCGTCTGTATGAACGCTGAGATCTCGGAAACTACAAAAGCTAGAAGGTTGAGATTTTCCACACATATTCTTGGGCCTCCTACGCAGCGCAAGTTTATTTCAGCCGAGCCCCACGCCCCCTATAACACCCACAATCGCCCACTAACGATTTTAAAATCTTTAAAGATTTCCGAGAAGTATATATGCAATTTTGTTGTGTACTGTAGAACTGTAGAAAACATTTTTCAAATCGGACCATTCATTAAAAAGTTATACGCAATCAAAATATCTATGTATATCTATCTCCCTCGCACTTCCTTTGGCTGAGCTACGATTATAGTCGGAACACAAACACGAGTACAGCGTGCGCACTCCCTTTAGCTGAGTGACGGGTATTAAATAGTCGGGACACCAACCCGACTATATCGTTCCCTCTAGTTTTATGGTAGAATAATACAATAAATAGATTAAGAAAATAGTTTAAAAACATATCCTACAACGAGTATGCATCATATTGCTGACTGCGGAGAGACTAACCTCCCGTACTCCTCACTCCGCTCTTACTACGCCTCTGTCTCTGTCTTGCCAATATTAATATGGAGAATTTGTAAAGAAAACTAAATCTCTGCTGTTTTGGTAATTTATAGCAACTTTGGAACTTTAAAGAAGTCCATAGTACACTTTTAATTAATATTAGTTATTATTTACGAAGTGCAGAATATATTTTGAGTCTTTGTAGCAAACAGTGATGTTTTCGTACGCAGAACAGCTTACATTTTGGCCCACTCATAGCAACCAGTTTGCGAATTTTTTTTCGCTCATAACAAACTACAATAACAACATCAACAACAGCCATAAAACAATGAGCCAAAGCAATTTTTAATTTTTTCCGCCATCGATTTGATTTGTTCTCGCAGTTATCGTTCCAATTTTCACAGTCAAGAGGAAGAATCCAGAGTTGCACCGAGAAAACATCGCCTAACTATCTCATAAAAGAGTCAAAGTCCATCAAAATTGGATGGCGGACAAACTGGGAAATTTTCGGAACGGCAAAACCTTACGGACCATCCGTTCAACGGATGGTAGATAATGGATGGAGCTCTGTGGGAAGACCCTATAAATTGAGCTGTTGTAGTGGATATTTTGTGGCAAATCAAATGTAGATAGAAATTTGTACCTTCTGGTAACACTCCCAGGCTGCAGATTGGGATGGATTTTCGTGGAATAAATAAATTAAATTGGCGTTTGCATCTGAGTAACAATAACAACCTTGTTGATTATAGTGCGGAAAATAGGTTCAGCAGTCCTGATGCGGCGAATGAGTGCCACCAGCAGCTCTGTCTCCAACAAGTCGATTGTGGGATTGTGGGGGCAACAACAATGGGCTCAAAACAAAAACGAGCAGCAACAACACCAGCGCAAGCCGTAGTCGCGGACGATGAGAACGATTTAGATGGAGCCGTGGGAGAAGGCGAGGACAAAGCAGGACACGGCGCAACTACAAAACCGGCAGAGGAGGGTGGGGATAAGGCGAGTAACCTACCTTAACCCTACCTAACACCGCCTTGTTCACAGATAGTAATGTGGAAAAACTTTTATTTCTGGTTAATTTAAACAGATGGAAAGCGCTGCATACTACGAGTTGAATGTGGATGTGGCTGGCTGCGGACTAGCCGCCATTGCCCTCTCGCCCATTGAAGCGGCTGCTGGCGGCCTTAGCTCTAGCCGCACCTCCGTAAATAACTCGACTGAAAACCTGAGCTACGCCAGTGACAATTTTTACGGTGATGATCTCATCCTGCTGGACGATGTTGATGTGGACGCTGAGGAGATATCGATCAACTCAGACGACTGCGTCTACGCATACCGTGGGGACAGGGCTGACTTTGACATGGACCTGGAAACTACCGTTATGGGCAGGGGTGGGCGGCACCACCTTGACCTGGGTCGGCGATCGGTCAGTGGAGTTGACGATAGCCTTATATGCGTCGACGACGAGACCGAGTTCCTGGAAATGGATTTCGATCCAGACCCGTCCTCGGAGCTTGAGTTTACGGGTAGGGCTCAGGATTTGGGCGTCCAGCCTCAAGCCAATCTGTTACTGATGCAGCGCGACTATAGCCAGATGAGTGGCAAAGTCGGAGACCCGCCTGCACAGGCCAGGCAGCTACACTGTTCACCTATCGACGATTTTCCGCAAGAGGATGAGTTACCGCAGCAGAAGCACCACCTTAGCAAGAAGTTTGCCCGCATCAACTTGAATCTAGACCAGATCAAGGACGGTGTGAGTAGCGGAAATGGAGGGGACCACAATTTAGACAAGCTGATGGGTGCTGGTGTTGAAACAGAGGTGAAGGCCACCGAAGGTGAACAGTCGTTTAAGTCGTCCCTGGCTCACTCGTTGCCCAACACATTATACGCAGGAGCTAGCTTTGGGCGCAGCACTAGCGTGCCTAGCAAACATCCGGAGCCTAAGCTGACGGGTGCTAAGCCTAAGCGACCCTCCCACTCCTCATCTGTGATGTCCAAGAGCAGCTCTTCGTACAAGTCGCGTCGCACCCAGACCTCAACAACTTTTGACGAACGTTGCTATAGCTGCACTGATTTTCGGGCCACCTCGTTGTCATCATGCCAGCATCAGCAGTTAGGATCGGGAACAGGGCAAGATCAAATGGCTCCCATGCTGATGGCTGCTGCGGCTGTTGTGGCCATGGCCTCGTCTTCCTCGTGCATGGCACATTTTGACTTAAGCGGTACCGAGGATAACTGTTTGGACTGTCTGGAAAAGGAATTCTTGGCGAATACCATCGGCAAAGCTCTGGACCCAAGGACATGTCCCAAGTGTCGTAGGCCTGCCGGTGGACGAGGCAGTAGCCTCTCCCTTTATGCCCGGGCGGACCAAACGAGCTGTCGGAGCGGTTCACCAGTACATTTCGATGGGTCCCTGCTCGGCGCATGGCACATCTCATCGACAACCGGAATGGTTTCCGGCCCCAGTTTGGGTCCACCCTACCACCAAAGGATAAATTCGTGTGATACAAATTTCAACGGCCTACAGGTAAGCACACTAATTTTATGTCCAAATGTGTATAAAAGATGTCTCCTTCTCGGTGTAGCTGCTCAATCAAACTTATTCGACTGAGCCGCTGGTAATAAGTCTGTCCACAGGAAAGACGTGCGATGAGGAGCACGTACTGCAGGCTCTAGACAAACTGCACGTCACTTATGACAGGGAGCTACTGCATGACTATTTTAATATACTGGGCATGCGACGACAGGCGAACAGCAGTGTCAATCTTAAGCAGCTACTGATACAAGCGTCAAAGCGGCAAGGAAACCACCGTAAGCTCAAACGTCTGATCGAGATAGTGACGCAGCAACAGCTCATTGTGCAATTTAAACGGGTTCGGATACGGTTATGTATACTAAGGACTAAAGACTATGACAACTAAGGATATTCTCATAATTTACAGAAAGACGAAGTCAAAACTGAACTGGTTCCCATTATGGTGGCGGATATTCTTAAAGCCTGGAACCGCTGTCGAGATCTGTCTATCCTGCTGCAATTGGATGGTCGTTTTCATAGCGAAAATGTGATGGGTAATGTGTTTATTATATTTTCAAACTTTTTTTAAACAATGGAAAAGATATTGGAGATCAAATTCCTAGCTCATTTTAGAAGGGTACTCATTATTCAAATATTAAAAAAACTTTGACCACTTCTGAAAAAACATTTTTTTCGAAAAATATCAACTGCCTTCGTTTTTAGCATCAATATTACGGAAAAAGAGATCGGAACCTTTGTGGCTTTGAAGCCGGAGTTTAATACCCTTACAGATTACCCGAATTAATATGATACTAAAATAATATATTTTCAAAATATTAAACCTCTGTATACGGAAGAGTTGCTAATAAAAACACTTTTCATTGGCATTAGAGGTGGAGAAATATCGATTTTTGGGAACATCGATGTTTTCAATGTTTATGTCAGAAAACATCGATGTTTCTCGATTTATTTGAATAAAAATGGACCTTTCTATTGTATTAGCATATATTTGCATTTGTTTTTACACTTATAAAAATAAACATAAATATAGCTTTGCAGAGGGTATATTTAGTTTAGCTAAAAGATTGCTACCAACAGCAAGAGACAGACCGGAACCAAAAATGTTTTAAAATCAAAATGTATTTTTACTAACGAAAGAACATTAAAATAGCTGCGCTTTAGCTGTTTGTCCATATCTTAGCTTTATGATTTTTTAACTTTGACCAGTTCAACTCGGTAAAAAATTGATTTTGTACCTCAAAAAAAACATCGATGTTTATCGAGGAAACATCGATTTTTGTAAAATATCATTAAACATCGATCTTTCGATTTTCACATCGATGCTTTCTTCACCTTTAATTGGCATTGAAAAAAGTAATGCTACTGAAAACAAATTTCATTAGGTTGTCAAAAAAGTAATGCTACTGAAAAATATTTCATTGGCTTTAAAAAAAGGTAATGCTGCTAAAAACACATTTCATTTGAATTGAAAAATTTCAATGCCACTGAAAAAATATTTCATAAAGCCTCAAAAGTAACGCTACTGAAAAATGTAATTCCAAAATGTAATGCTAGTTAAACAAGAAAAGAAGCTAGCTTCGGCCACCCGAAACTTATATACACTCAAAAAAAAATCAGCCCGGAATCACACTTAAGTCAAAAAATTTGCCATGGATTTAAGTCGATGGCGATCTACCGTATTTTTATACCCTTGCAGAGGGTATTATGATTTCAGTCAGAAGTTTGCAACGCAGTGAAGGAGACGTTTCCGACCCCATAAAGTATATATATTCTTGATCAGCATCACTAGACGAGTCGATTTAGCCATGTCCGTCTGTCCGTCTGTCCGTCCGTTTCTACGCAAACTAGTCTCTCAGTTTTAAAGCTATCGGGATGAAACTTTCGTAAAAGTCGTATTTCTATTGCAGGTAGTATATATGTCGGAACCAAACGGATCGGACAACTATATCTTATAGCTCCCATAGGAAGGATCAAAAAAAAAAAACGTACAAAAATTCTAGCTCCGGTGTTTTTTGAAATTTTACCTTCTACTCTTGAGAACATCTTTTTTTATATATTTCTGAATTTCGGTTTTTTTGTTTTTTAAATCGGATCACTATATCATATAGCTGCCATAGGAACGGTCGATAAATTAAATGGAAATTAATGGGAAAAAAATTATATCTTTGTTGGTTTTTATTACAGTTCCTTCTACTCTGGAATATGACTATTTTAAAATATTTCCTAGTTTCGATTTTAATTTTTAAAAGATCGAACTACTATTTCATATAGCTGTGATAGAAACGATCGAAAAATTAATGTGAAATAATAAGAAATATAACATTTTTGCGATTTGTAAATTAAGAGAATGATCTGCAAGGGTATATAAGCTTCGGCTTGCCGAAGCTAGCTTCCTTTCTTGTTTAGAAATGAATTTTCTAAAATTTAGAACAAAATTTCTGAAAAGCAGGAATACTTTTCTAAAATCAAGAAAAATTACCATCAAATTGAGAAATTTTCCTAAAATCCAGAAAGTACTTTTCTTGAACATAGAATTTTTTTCTTAAAATAAGAAAGGACTTCTTTTATTTTCAGAAAATTTTCTTTATTTAAATAAAATGCATACATACTTATTTTACTATTTTATTTCCTAAACAAGAAAGAGAAAAGAAAATAAAAAAGATGAAAAGAAAATTAAAATTATTTCCTAAACAAAAAAGGAAAAGAAAACAAAAGAGATAAAAATAACATTATAAATATTTCCTAAACAAGAAACAGAAATGAATTTAAAAACCAGAAAGAAGGCTAGCTTCGGCCAGCCGAAGCTTAAGATATAGTGGTCCGATCCGGCTCGCTCCGACATACACTACTGATCAAAATAATAGGTGCACACGTTATGTCCTCACTTGCTAAGAGATATCTCTATAGTTAGACCAGACCTCCCAAACCTTTTTATTTTGAAAGGTTATCCTGTCCTGCAATATTTTAATAAACAATGGATACAGTAAAACCTGTCTATTCCATTTTAGCCATACATATTTGCGAAAGGTCGGTTTTGGTGTGGTCAAAATAATAAGTACACTTGTGTTAGTTATAATTTTTTAAAATATTAAATCTAGAATGGGGCTACGGTTAGTATATTATCTTAAGTTAGGATCATGTTTTTAAGAAGTCTGGGCCAATTGGACGATTCAAAAAGTTTCCAAGCCTGGATTTGGTTACTTCAAAGTCATTATCCATGTTAAAATCTGATTTGCAGCTTAAAAGGAACTTTAACACTTAAGTATGGCATGTGATTTCCTAAATTTTCTTTAAAAATACTACTCTTAATAAATAAAATCGATTTGGAAAAAAAATAGTACTTACACCGTAAAAAATGAGGTAAATTCTTGTCAAGAACCAAAGTTACTTGAGGTTTTAATTAAAAAAAAATAGTTAAATTTTAAATTCTTAATTTTTATTTGATAGTAGATAAAACGACTAAAAAGATGAGACCTGTTTCATAAACTTTTTAAAACGCGGTTTTGTGTTTTTGTGAAAGTGTTTTTTATACAACAATTTTTTTTTTGTTTTTTTAAAGCGGTTTATACAACAAAATTTATTTTTTTCTTAACTGAGTATGTGCTCCGTGGTTCTACCTACAAGAGCACATTTAAATCATTGTAAAATTCCGCGTAGGTCGGATGCAATCACACTTTGAGTGATATTTTTGAGCGAAATATATCGCTCACAAATAATCTTTATTTCTGAGCGATATTTTTTTTCGCTTACAAAATAATCAATTAATGTAGATTTTTATTTTTTTCTCACAAAAAATAATCATTATTTTCGGTCCCTGATCGAAATGTAGAAGAAATTTTTTCAAACCGGACCATTCGTTGAAAACTTTTGCCCGAACAAAGTTTTTTATCTCCATCTGCCTCGCACTCCCTTCAGCTGAGTAATGGGTATCTGATAGTCGGGGCACTTGTCTATAGCGTTCTCTCTAGTTTTAACTAGCATTACATTTTGAAATAAAATTTTCAGTAGCAGTATTTTTGAAATATATTTTTAGTGGCATTCAGATTTTTTCAGGGACCGAAAATAACAGTTATTTTAAATTTTACTGACTTAAAAAATCATCCACTTAGAAAAGTGCTACAAAAAATCGAGAACACCAATGAGTTCCAAATTATCCAAGATATGCAAATCGGCAATGATTTTTATTTTGTGAGTTTTATTTTTAAAAATCAATGGTAAAAATTATTTTTTAAGTTTTATTATAAAACTCAGGCAGTAATCGTTATTAATGAGTAAAACAAAATAAAAATCATCAATAACGATTATTTGCGAGTTTTATTTTATAAAACTCAAAATAAAACTCAATTCGCTTTTGCGGCTATTGTACTGGCCATGTAGTTCCCAATCAAATAAAAACACCTCTTAACGAGGTAAAAAACTAGTGAGGATCGCACCTTCAACATACAAATGTTCTGATATCAACATATGTGACGAAAAATTATTACACTCGTCATTAAATACACTTTCTATAATTTTCTTATTCGGCCCCCCTAGTAAACTATTTCAGTTTTTTTCTTTTTCACTCTTCACTGGCATTTTCTATTGCAGCGTGCCGAAGACGATAAAAGATACAGGATTTTCAATATTTTCTGCTAAAAGGAACCGCATTTCCAGCACACAAAGAACCACCTTCTCATTTTCCCGGTGGGAACCCAGCGGGAAAGTGAGAAGTTGGTTTTTAGTGTTCTTGAAATCCTGTTCCTTTTCACAGGCAGTGTAATATTCAAAAACCCTATCATTTAATTTTATTTTAGTAAAGCCATTAAAATATTTGATCAAATTTATCAAGGATTGCCATTAACACATAAAACAATTGTGATTTTTTTTACATTTTTAAACATTTTCTTAGAAATAAAATAATTTGATCGTCAAATCGTGGCCCAAGCAATTTTTAGGTGTTGTTAAAAAATAAAAATTCGTGTTGGTAGTATTAATGACACTTAACATGAAATCGAATTGTCGAAAAATGCCTAATCACTGTGGACGGCAGTCTTTACAGATTATTTTGATCAAATTTTAGGTGCTAGTTTTTGCTAGCCGCTGCGTTACTTTGAAAAGAACAACGCGGTCTCGCCGTTTTCGATAATTTTTTTTAATTTGTGTTACTGTGCTTTTTGTGGTGTGTTTTGTGATAATTGTCTTTAGTTTAGATCTGATTACACCAGTTTACAAAAAAAAATCGATGAAATATACCATGAATGAAACCTTTGTTTTCCGGTAAGGTACGTCTTCCTGATTAAGAAAATGTCACTTAAATTTTTTTTTATGGATAAAGTTTTTTTAAAGTGTAAAAAACGTTTTTGACACTTTTTTAATTTCTAACTTGAATTGTGGTTAACCGATTTCAACCATAAATGACTCATTTTACAAGTAATAGAATGCCCTCCAACTTTCTTATACACTGCATTGAGATCCATTCATTAGTTTAGAAGCTACACTTCGTCAAAGTTGTAAAAGTGAGAAAAAATTCAAAAATGCTGGCATAAATGGCATC